CTATTTCATCATGGAAGGAAGGAACGCGTAGTCATTTTGACGCAGTCCCGCCCAGTCATGATCAGGCCGCTGACTTGCAGATGCACCCATCGTAAGCTTAGACATGCTCAGACCCATGCGCATCGACTCATCCGTACGACTGAGACTCATTCACGCCCCAACTCATTCACAGTTAGATTCGCCCCCTGTCTGTCAATACGCAAGCCCGCTTATGTCAATGCGCGATGCACATAAGGGGAGCTCCACGCATTGAATGACTACTTTCACCGCGCCGAGGACGCCCGAACACCCACCTCCTCCTCCTCCTCGTCCTCGCTACCCAAGTGCCTACCAGAGTCAAACCCGGGGTCGTTACTCAGGTTATGATATGGTATGATGACGATGACTGTACAATGGTGGTGATGATGACGATGGTGATGACGGGGATGACGACGAGGATTGTGCTGCTGAAGATGACGATGACGATGATGATGATGAGGATGATGACGATGATGATGATGATGACGATGCTGATGATGATGATGACGACGGTGATGATGATGCTGGTGTTGATCCTGGTGTTGCTGGCGACGACTATGATGATTCTGATGATTGGGATGATGCTTATTCTGATGACGCTGATGATGGTGATGCTGATGACGATGATGATGGTGATGATGAAGAAGATGATGATACTGATGATGATGACGATGGTGATGATGATGCTGATTATGATGATGATGCTGGTGCTGATGCTGGTGATGATGATGGTGATGATGAGGACTACGATGATGACGGAACACCTATTTAAGTTGTTTCTCGTGCGAGGCGGTGATTTCAGCACCCCCAAGGGGGGGATGCCAGGGGGTATCGCGCTCTTCCGTTCGCGCCGCTTGCGTGCCCAACATCCTGTGCTTCTGGAGCAGATTTTGTGGATGACTCGGGCGAGGCGTTGCGCTGCTTTTCGCACACCGAAGGCGAGGCGTCAAGGAAGTATCTCATCTTCCGTTCGCGCCCAGATCGGGGGGATGCTTCGGGCGGTTTGCCTCTTTGCGTGCCCAACGTCATCACGTCGTTTGCTTTCGGAGCAGAGTTTGCGGATGTCTCGGGCGAGGCGCTGGTTCTCGCACGCCCAAGATGCGGCCGCCAGGTGGTAGCTCACTCCTCAGTTCGCGCCCAGACGTGGGGGCTGTCTCGCGCGGCTTGTCTGGCCGCGTGCCCGACATCTTTCGCTTTCGGAGCAGATGTCGAGGAAGTCTCGGGCGAGGCGCCGTTTGTCGCACCCCAGGGGGGCCAAACAATTGCCAGGATGTTTCGGGCGGTTTGCCGTTTTCGGTGGCCTGACTCGTCTGCGTTCAGAGCAGGGTATGAGGATCTCTCAGGTGAGGCGCTGGTTTCAGCACCGCCAGGGGCTCAGCTTGCGAGGATGTCTCGGGCGGTCTGCATGTGTTGGTGGCCAGACTCGTCTGCGTTCAGAGTAGAGGCAGAGGATGTCTCGAGCGAGTTGCTGGTTTTCAGCACTCTCAAGGGGGAGCCGCTGGGTGGTTCGCACGGGCCCGTTTTCGCTCAGCATGTGGGGATGTCTCCAGCGGATTGCGCGTTTGGGTGCCCAGCATGTTTTGCTTTCAGAGCAAACGGTGAGGATGTCTCGGGCGAGGCGCTGGCTTCAGCACTCCCCAGGGGGAGCCGACAGGGTAGATGTGTACATCTATATATATGTATATATCTATATATATATATATATATATATATGTATATGTAAATATATATATATATAGATTCCCCGTTTGCGGCCAGTGTGGGGATGTCTCAGCCGGTTTGCTTGTTGGTAGTCCAGGCTTATATTTCCCCACATCCTGAGTGGGGTTCTTGTTTTCCCAGAACACCCTCTCCTTCCCACCCACCTCCCGCTCCATCTTCCATACAGCACAATATTATTCCTACCACACACACCATACCATACCATAGTTCCTACCACACATACCATACCATACCATACCATACCATACCATACCACACCATACGTACCATACCGTACCATACCATACCATGGCGTACCATAGCATACCATACCATATCACACCAATGCCACACCGTACCATACCATATCATACCTCCAGTACCATACCATACCATCTCATACCATACCGTACCATACCATACCTACCATACCATTCCATACCACTCCATACCGACAACCATACTACTTACATGGTTTCGTGCCCCTCCCACCCCTCCAGGGAGGCCCCGCCTGAGCGAGGAGGGTATCGGAAAACCATACTATTTACATGGTTTCGTGCCCCTCCCACCCCTCCAGGGAGGCCCCGCCTGAGCGAGGAGGGTATCGGAAAACCATACTATTTACATGGTTTCGTGCCCCTCCCACCCCTGCAGGGAGGCCCAGCCTGAGCGAGGAGGGTATCGGAAAACCAT